GGCGGGGAGGTGGCTGGCCCCGGCGCCCCCCCTTTCGGCCGCAGCTCTCCGGCCCTGGGGAAGGCGCTGAGCCGAGGAGGAAGTTTTAGGTTTACCCGTGTGTGCGTGTAAGCGCTTTATCCCCGAAGGGGCAAAAGTGAAAATGGCCCGCTTGCAAGTGTGTTAACCAGCCCTGCTTCCTGATGGAAAACTGCTTGCTTTGCAGGTACTTATCGGGCTGCCACCATTGTTAAATCCCACGCAGTGTTGGAGAACAATGACCTGCTCCCACTTCCCCAACAGAAATCTTTTGGCAATCCCCTTTTATGAAGAAATCACTCGATATTAAAATAGAGACTTCCCTTTTTTTTCCCTTCCTTCTTAAAAGGCCTTTTTCTTCAGTGGGTCTTGAAAAGAGTCTTAGTGTTCTGCAGTTGTGACTTGTTAGGCAAGCTGCTATTTTCCACCCCCCCACCCCCCAAATATACTCCTGTCCAGTGTAAGCTTGATGCTTTCACAGTGTAGGTGGTACATGGGAGAGGAGAAGCAAGACATATGGGATAATTCGTGGGTCTGGATTTAATTTCTACTATTAAAACTCTCAAAAAAATTTGCAATGTCTCAGCAAGTGACTGGTCTAAGCTGGCTCTAGAAATGAGGTTTCATTTATGGGGAATAAGTGGATTTAGAAGCACTGCATGCAGCGCAGGGATTTGCAACTACTGCGTTGGCTTCGGTTGCCGAGTTGGGTGTGTTCCAGCCGCTTGGCAAAACCTTGCACACCCCCACTGAAGCAGAATGTTTGCTTCTGCTGAAGGCTAAACTTTATCTTAGCAGAGGCCTCGCCATATCCTGACTACAAGCTGAAGGCATACTTTCCCTGGAAAACAACAGCAGTGAATTTAGGATGCTTCCCCCCTCGTTTTTGCTTGTTTTGGGGACCAGCAGTCCCCATTATTTGAGGAATGGGCAGACACACAGTTGATAATCCACCCTGTTAATATTTAATTAATCTTGTCTGCCTATAGTATGTTTACTCGGAAGCCTGTAGGTGTAAACTGCGCTTTGCAGTTCTTCTACGCGGTGGTGACTTCAAACGCTTACGTTGCTTTGTCTGGGAAATATGCAAGAATTTGTAGGACTTGGTAGCACTGATAGTAACTTAAAACACGCGGGGGGGCAGAGGAGGCTGACTCAGACTTTCAAGTGTAAAAGCTCAGACTTGAATAAATGCATCGCTGAGTAATAAAATCTCTTCACAGCGTCTAATTCACTTATGTGTGATTAAATATGTTCACAGTGAATTATTCTCAGCGTTTCAGAAGTGAGAAGGCTTTATTTAAATCATTAGCTTTCTGGAGCTGTAAACTGAACACAAGCTTCCTACACGATTGCGTGATGGCATGCGACTGCTCATGCTACAGGTCGCTAGACTTGAGACAATTTTTTTTTTTTCAGAAATGTGAAATCAGCTTTCAAAGCAGCTATACTGCGGCTTCCTCCGGCTGAACCGAAAATCTCAGAGTCTCTCCTGAGTGCAGCAGCCTCTTTCTGCTTGTGTATAAGCACGTTTTCTAAAACGTGTATGCGTTTATACAAAATCAAACCCTGCTTTTATTCCGGATGGGTAGTGAACTCCGTCAGAGTTCTAGATCCACACGAATTTAAGGAGGCTTCTGATGTATTTTGAATGTTCAGTTGCACGTGAGGGTTATTAAAATGTGCTTCTGTTGTGGTTATATAGCAATTTCATGTGATTGCTTATGCCTACTAACCAGTTGGATTGTTTGATCAGGACATCAAGCCGATGAGGGACCAGATTGTCCGCGTGAAGAGATACGAGAAAGTTCCTCTGATCCTGGTGGGGAATAAAGTGGATCTGGAGTCGGAGAGGGAGGTCTTATCTGCAGAAGGCAGAGCCCTGGCTCAGGAGTGGGGCTGTCCCTTCATGGAGACGTCAGCCAAGAGCAAAACAATGGTGGATGAACTGTTTGCTGAGATCGTCAGGCAAATGAACTATGCCTCCCTGCCTGAAAAACAAGATCAGTGTTGTACAACTTGCATCGTCCAGTGAGAGAAATTAAGAAAAACCTCAATCATGGCCATACAGAGCAGGTTGGTGGAACAGTCATAACTAATCGAGGTGCATACGCATGCCGTTTAAGCAGATGAAGCGTGATGGGCAGTCTGAAATGAAGTGGTGTAAGCCGGAGGTAGCCTTCCTCCGAAAGAGATGGCGACCTGTGCGTTCGCTTGCGCCTGGTTACGTAAGTCAAGTGGACTTCTTGCGTTGCTTCTGTGGAGTTAGTCGGGGCATGTGGCGTTTGCTTGTGGTAATTTTACACTGAGACACGTTACGTGATCTCATCTGCACCTGTGTCGTGTCAGTGCCGTCTTTGACGTCACGTTACCCCTAATAACACTTGGTGACGTTGCAGCGGGTTTCGTTGCTCGTTGTAGTTGGCACCTGAGTTATTGTCAAGTAACAGGAGTTATCTTGGAGTTCAGCGGGATTATTGTGACCAAATTTCTCCAGTTTTGCTGAGAAGACTTTGAGCTCCTTCAAATAAAAATTCCATGCTACAGAAGCTGAATGCCCTTAGAGTACACTTCTGCCTTCCCAGCAGAGTAAGTTAAAAGGAGATCCACCCCGAGTTGTGAGGAGTGGCTGGAAGCCCATGTGTGCTAGTCAAGGATGCCTGCAAAGTGCTCTTCATCTAAAATCTCCAGAGCAGACACTGGAAAATGGCTTCCCAATGCACGACTCTTTCTATCCCTGTGACTCATAAGAGGTGTGGCAGGAGCGCAGTGCTCAGAGGGGCCTCTGCGGAGCTTCCCCTCTCTTGGGTATTGCCTTGATTATTAAGTTTTCCCGTAGGATAGCTGCTCGCGGCCCTTCACACGTGCGGTGGTCTTTTTCAGTACCGCTTTCACCGGCTGGTGTAAATGGATCTGCTCCGTCCCTGCAAGCAGCAGCCCTGCGGGGTGGTTCTGGGCTCCCCCCCGCTCTTGGCTTCCCTCATAGCCCTTGCAGGTCTAGTGTCACCGTGGGCTTTCATCCGTGTTACTGAAAAGGTGGCATCTTCATCCCTGGTATGCTCTGTGTGCAGCCAGCGGGTCTGTCAGACCTTCAGTTTTCCGTTGGACCTGTCTTGGCAAGCAACTCCATTGGGATCGAGGTGCAGGGATGAGGAAGGATTTGAAAATCCAGGGGAAGGAACTGCCCCTCTTGGCAGCTGCACTGATTGCGGCTGAGGCCCTGGCTGCCAAGGTAGCAACTCTTGCTTGAGTCAGAGGAGCTTTTTGTGTCTGAGTGACAAGAGGGGAAATAGGTTATTTACTGTAAGCTTTGGACTCTCTACCCTCTTTAATCTTGAGTGCAAGGTCAGAGAGTGAAGTCTCAAAGCGTGTCTTTGAGATTGTTATCAAGTGCTTTGTGAAAGTAAAATTTCAGCTACTCGTGACCTTAGCACTGTCATACTAAAGATAATGCGTGATGTTTTTATCTCCAATTCTGTGAAATAAGGGCAGGTTGCTGTCACCGTGTAGGAGCTGTGTGTAAGCTCAAGGTTTGCTTCCTGGGAGGTGAGCAAACTGCTTGTATTGGAGCGGAGAAAAAGGCAAATAAGTCTTTCCTTGTGCGCTAGTCCCTAACCCTTGCAGAGCCCTTGTAGTGTTACAGGAAGGAGTAAATCAAAGGAGTTGCTGGGGTTTTTAACAAAGTGCTTACAGGGTTAGCATCTTGTGCCACTTGTAGTGATGCAAAGTTTCAGCAAGTTCGGAGGCAGCCTCACAGGTAAGATGATCTGGACTTTGTGTCACGCCAAGGGTTACAGCAATGTCCTGGCTTACCGGGGGTTCATCTCGTGCGCATCGCTGCCGTCAGCTCTGACAAATCACCCCCTTTATCCATGAAATGTGTGCTTCAGAGTTGGCTGCTTCTAAGGGAGACTTCTTTGTAACCTGGCTGGCTCTGGATTTAGCGTTAAATACAGGGTTTCATCTGAAAGGTGGAACTGAGGTGTGGGGGAGGCCAGATGTTACTCCTTTGGATGCTAACATGCCTGGATTTGGTGAGTTTCCAGAGCAAAGCATGCTATTGCTTCAGAAGAAACATCTGTATTCTTCTGTCTTTGATCTCATGCAGTAGAGGATCCCTGTAATCCCGTTTTCCTCTCCTTCATTCTGCCTGGCTCTTAAGTCTAGCAGTCTTCCTTGCTTCTGGGGGGTGCTGCTTCTGCACGGTGTAATCCTGTGCCAACCAAGTCTTTCCTTCCTAAGCAGCTTGCTCTTCAGTCTGGAACTTAGACTACTCATCCTGGCTCTTCACAGGCTTCACACTCCCTATCTTTCATTCCAGCCTCACACTTTTGGGATAGTTTCTTCTTCCTGGCTCCCACTCTCCCCTTATTCTTCGAGTAGGTGTAGGATCTCATTAACTTCATGATAAGCCTTTGCTGCCTGCTGATTTCTGTCTGATGTGCTCCAGTGTAGGTGAGCTGCTGATGGTGTCTTGTGATCTCTGTCATCAGCTCTGTAATCCTTGGCTTATGGGTGACCCAGGAACAGGTGCTGCTTCTCTGCCATCAGCTTTGGCAGTGACCCTCCTAGGTAAAGTGAAACTGGGGAAGTGGAGCCAACTCTCAGAAAACCTGGCAAGTCCAAGTGGGCTTGAACTCCGTCTCTGTCCTAGCATAATCCTCATCATCTCAGAGTTCGGTGACCTGTGTCCAGGAGGAGTCTTAGGCCTGGATCAGTTCAGGATGAAGTACATAGGAACAATTCGTGTCTCTCTAGCTCTGATGGAGAAACCAATGAGAGGGTGTGGGGGGGAGTATATGGTGGTTTTATCTTCCGCTGTTTCAGTGTCAGTTTTAACTACCAGGTGCCGATACCTCTTTGGTGCTGATACCTCAACCTGTCTGTCAAATATGACATTGTGTAGGTTCTTTCATGACATTTTTGAGTAACGCTTGCTTGAGTTACTGCTCCGGTCAGCGGCCTTGGGTGAAGTGAAGGATGGAACAAAACTACATCATCAGGATAACCCATAGTTCCTTTTAAAAATGTGTGTTGTTCTTGCATCCTGTTTCCCTCCCCCTCCCCTTTCCTGCTTCTGCAGTGGTCGTCTGTCATTTCATGACTGCATTCAGAGATGTGGGATTTCCAGTAGCTGCTCTCTGCTCCTTGCTTGATCTAGTTTTTCTCTTGAATTTTCAGTATGACAGTATTTTAAATCTTCTTTAACATACGGCACCAGCGATGGTGCTGGTGCCTTAAAAGTGTTCTGTAGAGAAACTAATCAGTTTGGGAACTTTTTAATATTGGGGTGAAAGATTGCTGCTGATTTCTGCCCCCTCCATTCGTGAGTAACTGATACTAGCAAGCACTGAAGAAGTACTCTGCTCTAGGGATAAAAACTGAATGAATACTGCCTTCTGGTCTGTGTGGCTGTGCAGCACATACAAATTTATCCCACCAAACTGTCTAACATCCCCCTCTCTCCTGTGTGCTCGCAGAAGAGAATAGAGCGGTATGGATATTCTGGGGGCAAGCGAAGCCAGATAAGTGCTATATGGTGCTAATTGCAGTAACGAGGCACGAGTTAAATGGAAAGATGACGACAGATCTGAATTGGGATGTCCCTGGCCTCCGTATAATTTCAGTGATGCTGTAAGAGCATGCAGAAGAAGAAAACATCTTTGTTTTCCTCTGTTTTTACTATCCCTAGCAATTCTTTGCTGGCCACAGCACCGGATGCTGGATTTAGGTGAAGTTTTGGGATGGATCTAACTCTTGTAGCTTGAGGAGCTGCACTGTAAATGGTTTGCTCTTCTGTGCTGTAATCAAAGATAAAACACCTATTAAGCAGGTCTAATCCATCCCCATTAAAAGCAAAGTGTGGGGTTTTTTTTCTGTTTGGACAGTACAGGGACCCTCCCCACCTAAAACTCATGGACCAGCAACAGAGTGGGGGAGACACACATTCACCAGACTGTTAGCTGGGAAACAAACAGGCAAGCAGGCAAAACCGGGCTGCTCCTGTCAGTACAGGAGCACTGCTCCTGGGTTTTGGGAGTGAGCAGTTGTTGGGCAAGAAGGGGAACCCCAGCTGTGTCAGAGCACTCTGGTGACTAACTCTTGAGGGCAAATCAGCAGCTGAAAAGAAAGGTTACAGCATGAAACGTTAAGGTCCTGACTCCTGTGAAGAAGTGACTTCCAGAAGACTCGTGAAAACCAAGGATCAAGCTTCAGTGAAGCGCATGCACGTGCATGTGAAGGACAGACTAAGCTTTAACTGAGGCTTTTAGGGTACCTCTGCAGATAAATCTTACAAAGTGCCAGCAAGTGGTCAGAAATCCAAGGATGTATCAGTCACATTGGTAATGCTGTTTACATTTGTGTGCTCGACTGAGAGCAGCAGCGCACAGTTCTGTCCCTGCTGGGGTTGAGGCTGGTGAATCTAAGGGGTGTTTTTAGTAACCGAGAGGAGCTGAGTGCTGAGAACTCAGCTGTCAAAACTGAGTTCGTTGGCTCATCTACCTGTTCCCAGAACTTGTGCAAAATGCTGTTGCTTCACGTTACTGGGTGGCGCAGCGCCTCCTCACCACTGCTGCAGAGCCTAGTGTGTGTGCAGGAGAACTTAAATTTCCTGGCGCTTTCACATCCTCAGAAGCAAGTTAGTAGCCCGCAGGGGCAGCCTGCACAGTTCAGAGCAGTGGGTTGCTACCTGCATGCCTCTTCTGCTACTGGAATTAGAGGGGAACTTGAAGAACGTGGCTGTGTAAAGCAGTGCTTTGGAGCTCGCCGTGGAAAACTGGCTTTGCACGTGTATTGAATGTGGCTTTCATGAGTTGTTTTGTTTTAAATTGCAGATAAAACTCAGAGGAAACTTGCACAGATGCTGCTTTGGAGAACTTTCAGCCCAGGTTGCAGAGCTGAGCCTTGGTAAACCTGTCTCTATTACAGCACATTGCCATACATCGAAGTGCGTAAGGTCGGTGGCCTCCAGGACCCACACACCTTAGTCGGAATGCTTAGCATGTTTACCATAAGTTTAAAGATCTGTTCTTTATCTATCAGTCCTTTTATAGCTTTCTAAGTTCATATAATGGCTAATATGCAAGAGTTCATTTTTAATATTTTAATTGATTTCTTTAATCAATTTCTGAACTTGTATTTATTAAATACTTAAACTCAGTATTACCTACTCAATGCCTTTTAAAAGAAGAGAGTTTTAATGGAGAATAAATTGAGCCTTAAACAAATGGTTACTTCTGTATATTACCTCGCATCAGTGCTTCTTCCTATTTGCAGCGTTTTCTCCTACAGTGTAGCTGGTCATTCTGTGAGACTCTTTGTTTACGTGTGACAGTGTCATGAAAAGATACCGAAGGCACCTCTGTTGTATGGATGTAGTATCCCTTTTCTTGGCAAGCACAGCTGTGATACCGTGTCTGTCACTGCTCCGACTTGACAGTAGGGATTGCTCGGAATGGGATGTAAAGTCTCCAGCTGATGTTTCTTTTCTTGCAATCATGGGTTTCTTAAACTCACTTAATCAAAAATTACAGTTGTAGCGTTGACAAATGGCAGCATGCTTTTCCTTCTGCCGAGTTTCTGAACTTGCTTGTTTACAAGTAGCTTCTTTATGCCTTTGAAAAGGGATAATGTATCCTTGGAAGTGGGCTGTTTGCCTAGTCCGTCAGCTCAGCTTTGCCTGGCACACCGAGACATCTAGTAGACCTCTGCACATGTAAATCTAATGCAAATAAGATCACTTTACATTTTATAGTTCCTAATATTTGTCTTTCTGAATAATATTTTAAAGCAATATTTGTTAAAGTTTTTCTTGCACTGTCACAAATTTGCTTCTTAGATTTTTTTGTTGTTGTTTGTTTTTCCCAAGAAACAAGGTTAATATTAGAGACAAGTTGGTGTAACAAGGGGAAAAGCACCAGGTTGCAGTGATACTAACTGCGAGTGTGCTTTAAACAGCCATTGCCTTCCTTATTGTTTACCTGATCAACATTTTCTCTGAATACTTGAAAATTTTAACAATAACACAGGTATAAAGAGCAGAATGAAAATGTACAAAGAACAGATGAAACGGTTTTGTTCAGTTTTGTTAACATGTTGCATACATGAGAGCTTTTTCTAGCAGTGGTTTAAAACGTGTAATTCTTTTTTTTGCAGAAATTTTAATAACTGCAGCTCACCTACTGCACCAAAGTTCTAGGTTTTTAGGAGCCCAGCTTTAGTCATTTGAACATGCTTCTAGAAAATGTACATTTTTTTTTTCCCTGTAATAGCTAAATAACTTTGAGAAAAGCTCCAGTAAAAGCAGTGATGGATATACATGAGGTGAAGCAGTTTAAAACTCATGAATTGTATTGTGGATGATGGCATTTACACCAATAAACGATCACCGGTACAGTAGCTCAACATGAACGTGTTTTATTGGTAATACTGCAGGCTGGCTTGACAGTGTGAGTAGAAATAAAGATTCTGAGTGTTGAATTTGAATCCTGAAAAGAAGAGGACACCAGGTTTTCTGCTTGGGTATTGAAACACCTGATTTTTTTTTTTTTTTTTCCTGTGGGGTTACTTGAAATTTTTTTTTCCCCCCCCTGTTTGTACAAACTTTATAAACAGGCTGAGGCTAATACTTAGGTTTGCACTTTAATATCAGAATCAAACCAAACCTTGTATTCAAAGTAGATTTTTTTTTTTTAAGTGGTGGTTGTTGATCCTTTTTTGTAGGTTGTAAGGAAGTAATAGGAAAAATAAGAGTAATTAATGAAGATCTTGGTTTTCCTTTGTCTAAGGGGGGAAGAAGTTGGTTAGTATGAATGAGTGGTTCATTCCGGTGGGTAGTTATTCAACCAGTGTTGGTTTTCATCGACCTCAGCGTGAGAAAAAAAAAAAAAGGAAAAAAAGAAAAAAAAAAAGAGAAAAAAAACCTTTAAAAACTTGAACTAGCTTAGAGTGACAGGAGTGGGAAAACGAGAGATGGTTTCTTCAGCACACTTTGGGGGGAAAAAGGGACCAAAAGTTATTTTAGGCTTCCTTGATAGTTTGCATGTGAAGTTGCTTATTAGAGTAAGAGGCTAATAATAAAAGCAGTATGTATTGTCTTTCCTATGGCATCTGTTTAGGAGTTGTTCAAATCACTGCAGTAGGGCTCTGCAAACAGAAACGTAACCTGACGTCACGTATCTAATGTACTGTATCTTTATCAGTGATAGGCGAAATCTGGAATAACAAGTGCAAAAACGGAACAATTACCTATAATGCTTTGTAAAAAGTTTTTTTCCAGTAGAATCCATTCTTGTCATTTTGTAAGACAACCCTACAGTCCACCTGTTTGTAACTTTTTTAATAAAATAGATACCTGTATTACCAAACTGGGGTGACTGCTCTGTGTTCGATTTGCTCTTCCAGAGTGAGCTGATCCGACAAGCCGCTGGGTTTGGTTTTTCTGGGTGTTTTTAGGCACTGGTTGTACGTAGTAACCACACGTGAACGGTCATGAATGACTCCTTCTGGCTGGAAGAGCATGCCCAGCCCTCCTGGGCTGGGTGTAGCACCCCGACTGGGAGCGCTCCGAACGGAGAGGAGGGGGAGCAAGGAGCAGCCCAGGCTCCTCTGAGCTGGGGGGCCCAGTCCCGGTACACCGACCTTTACTATTGCATTGGTTACTCAAGCCACGTGTCAGTGTAAAATGTGATTTTTAAACTTCCTTCCTTTGTACCTTCAGTCCTCAGCCATGTGCTGACAGGTGGAACCACCTCACACCGCTCAGCTGACATCAGCCTTGTCTTGAAGGTGGGTTTCTGTGCTGCTTCTCCCTGTTCACGCTTCCTTCGCCGAGACGGAGGAGGAGTTTCCACCTCGGAGGAAACTGGCAAAGAAGGGCAAGCTCCAAAGTGATCTTGGATGAAAGTCTGCGTCCTGTAACCACCTGAGCAATAATATTCAATTGAATTGAGCAATAATATTGATGATTCTTCATAGTGCTCAATGCAACCAAGCTGCTTCCCCTTCCCCCTCGGGGGCTGGGGGGCGATGCACGTACAGCCGGGGCGTCCTGCGACGTGGCACCGCTGGTTTGTCACAAAGGCGCGGTACAGGGCAGTCTGGGTTGAGGGGTTCAAGGAAGCACGTAAGCTTTGTGTTTAAGGCCGTTATCTTGCAAAAGTCGTAGTGTTGAGAGTGAACTTGGCTACTCTACAGATGGTTGAGTAGCGTCTGTCGTAAAGTAGGTGCGAGAGCGTTGCGTTGCTTTGGAGCTGGGCCGGCTGTTCTCGGGGTTGTGTCGTGGGGTGTCGCAGGCAGCTTTTTCTCTGGTTTAGCAGTTCCTGCTTTAAAACTGTAGGGGCCGTGCAGGAAGCTCCCCGGTGTCCTGCTTCCCCTGTGCAGCCAGAGGACGGCTACGTCCCCCCCCGGTGCGTTCGGAGAGCAGGAGATACCCGCAGCAGGGACCAGAGGACTGGTAGCACAGGTGACACGTCAATGAGTTGCTAACGAGGGCCACGCTGGGCCTTGCAGCCTGAGGATGAACCCTCAGCGGGGACAGCCCTCGGAGGGAGCCGCGAGGTGCCCCGCGTGGGTGGAGGGTGAACCGCCGGCCGCACCTCGCGTCGAGCTGTACGCTGTTAACTGCCCGACTAGGCACGGCCGTAATTACAGCTTGAAAGTAGGTGGAAGTGTCTAGTCTTAATTAAAATGAGATACGGGCTCTAAAACAATACACGTTGACCTGTTTAGGTTCTCTCTGCTGAAGAGGCGGCGGTGCTGCGAGCTTGGTTTGCTGGTGGGCGGTCGGGTCTGGTGAGTCACCGCGCGCCTGCTCGGCAGCCGGAGGAAGCGCGTGTGCGGCTGCGGGCAAGCTCTGGCAAGAGCCGAGGTGGCCCTGTGCTCTGAAAGTGAAATAGCGCGGCTGCTTTTATCTCTGCCTGGTCAAAACGCCTGCGAGGAGCAGAGGGACTTGGAGCTGAAGATGGGCAGGTGCCTCGCTCCATCCAAGGGTCAAACCCTGCCTGCAGCGGTTTGTTGGTTCTGCTGAGGGCAGCCTTGAGCTTCGGATAGCTTGGCTGGCAGCAGCGCTACGTGTCGGTGACGAGATGGCAGGGGATGAAATGTGTTGTTCTTCACGGGAACGGTGTATTTCGTCTGGAATCAATTCGCTTCCGGTGCTCTCTCCCAAAGCTGAGGGTCTCTTCGAGTCCTTCCAAAACGTTGGGAGTGATAATTGATGGGGAAATGTCTCTCGTGTTGCAGGAACCCGCAAAAGGCTGCAAGAATTGGGCTTTTTCAGCCTGGAGAAGGGAAGGCTCCAGGGAGACCTTATAGCACCTTCCAGTGCCTGAAGGGGCTACAAGGAAGCTGGGGGGGACTTTTTACAAGCGCCTGTAGTGACAGGACAAGGGGTAACGGGTTTAAATTGAAAGGGAGGGGGTTTAGATTGGATATCAGGAAGAAGTTCTTCCTGGAGAGGGCGGGGAAGCACTGGGACAGGTTGCCCAGAGAAGCTGTGGATGCCCCATCCCTGGAAGTGTCCAAGGCCAGGCTGGATGAGGCTTTGAGCAACCTGGTCTAGTGGAAGGTGTCCCTGCCCATGGCAGGGGGGTTGGAACTGGGTGATCTTTACGGTCCCTTCCAACCTACACCATTCTGTGATTCTATGATTCCATGAAAATACTCACTGATGGGCAGCCTTTGCCCGCTGTGTTTGTTTTGTCGATGTGTCCGTGCTCCTTGGTTGGCTCCATCTGAGCGTGCCGAGCTTTCTAACAACGACTTACTTCCTCCAAATGGCATTTCCAGTGATTAGGCTGTCGTGGGATGTGAGACTGCGAGACGCCGCCGGTTACTGGGTGACCTCAATTGTTCTTGCCTCGGAAGAAAAATGGTAATCGTAGCACTTCTCTCCCGGGGGCATAATGCGGAAGACTCTTGAAAATGGGGAGGTGCTTGGGCTTATCTGGAAGCAGATGCACCAGCATTGTAGAGTCTGAACTTGGACTTCTCACGTGTAAATTAAGTGGGTGGGGTAGAACCTAAAACCCAAAGTCAAAAATTCCTCAGATTTATGAAAAGCATTAGTATCTGTCACACATTTGTGATATTATAACGTAACTGGTTCAGGCTTAGATTTCTTATGTTTCCACTAAGCGGTATAATTGATAAATGACTGCAACTCAGTAAACCAAACAGATAATCCAATTTCTGGGAAATTTCTGGCTCTTCAAGTGAATTTTCTTTTCTTTTTTCCTGCCCCTAGGCTGGCTACTTCATCCAGTTTTATGTCCATAGAAGATCTGCCTTGACATTAGATTTAAATTACCTGGTCAGCCCAGAAAAATGAAAATATATTTGCTGTTGGTGACATTCCTTAAGGGCTACTTGTGCTTTTGGGAACGGGCGGATAGGATGACTAATCATCAGCTTGGGATGCATCCTACTGCTGTAACAGACTTTAGACCCTTTTTCTTAAAAATAAAATTAATAGCGATTGTGTAATCAGCAACAGCATGCCTGCGATGGAAAACAAGGAGAAACAAACTGAATTTTCGGGAGAGCTGATTAATGTTGGAAAGGAGACCAAGCTTCCCACGGAGCATGGCTGAAGTGCTGGAGCGAGCTGCAGGCAGTGGAGGTGGAGGAGAATTTTCAAAGGCCGCGTTGGGTAAGCACTGCTGGAGGGAGGAGCGTGCGTAGTTCCTGCCTCCGTGCGTTGGGCTGCCACGTGTGGTCGCTTGAAGGCCCTTGCAGCCCCTCTCTCTGTCACCGCAGTCACGATACTAATCCCGGCACTGGTTTCCATTCAATATTCCAGCAATTAGCGCAGACTTGCCAGATGCCCGATGTCTCGTGAGCGGCTGTATTTTTGAGGAGGTTAGAAGAAAGATTTTTAGCTGCAGGGCCTGCCCAGGGTCAGACTGTGGTTAGGGGGACTCTGGAGTCCAGCTGTGCTCCTTTCCTGTTAGCCATCTCAGCTCTTCGTTGTCACACACTATCTCAGGCCAGCCGGATTGTTTCGTATTTGGGCTCAAATTAATAATTTAGACAGGTTTTATGAATGTAGCCCAAAACCTTGGGCCAGTCATGATGTAGGAATGTTCCCTGTTCTTTGAAACACGTCTCTCTCGGCTCCCGCTGCCTGCCAGAAGGCCCTGGAAGAGGGGCCATGAGGCGGGGATTACCTTTGATCACGACAGATGGATGCTGCTCTCTTGTCCTCCGCCGTCTGCTATGAGGAATGGCTTTGACACAACTTTAGCTCGGCTTTGAGCTATATACCAGGAATTTAGTGGCCCTTGGCAGGGCTGAAGTGTGATAATGGTCTTTTGAGGAAGATTAAAAGAAGGGAGTAGGGGAAGAGAGGCTACCTGTGAGGGAAATGTTCACAAAACTCAAGATCCGTATGTTGAGATGGGTCTGATCCATTGGCCTGGAGGCACCTGGAAAACACATGCATTTCTTTGCCTAGATGTAATCAAGGCTTACTCAACCAGAGCTGCTTGTCTTGGGCCAAGAGGGAAACCACATCTGTCATGAAAATAAGCAATATAGCTCCTTAGGACTCTATCCTTTCCACTAGGATTCAATCTTGTCACCCAGCATTGCGGACTGAACTCGGCAGCTTCCTCAGACTTGGCCTTTGGCCATAGGATCCTTCCTGATGATGCTCAGCAAAGGTATTCCCTATCCTGGACTTTAATTCCCTTCTGAAGAGCTGCTGCTGCTTCTAGCCTCGTAACCCTGTCGCTGGAGCTGCGTGAGCAGACGAGCAAGACGCTGCCCACTGGTCAGTCAGATTGCTGCGCTGTGGTACAGGGGGTCTGTGATTGTTTTTCCCTTGGGGCACCATCTCAGAAAGATCTGCACGTGACTCGTGGAGAGCCTTAGGGAGAGGGTCGATAGGTTTGAATTCCTGAGGACAGAGAGCCTGGGCATCCAGAGACCTCATCGCAGGACTGCCGGACTACAGGTAAACCTACAATACTTCTGTCCCGTTGGCGTGGGGATGTGCAGGTGGACCAGGAAGAGTTTATGCCTGAAAGAAATTAAGGACAGCGTGTGCAAGTCCTGTGCTTTGTACTACTGCACGGATGCAGGGAGATGCACCCAGAAATGACCCAATGCTAAGAGATGGCTGAGTCTTCGGGGGCATCAGCACTCCGTTGGCTGCGTACAGTCTTTCTGTACAAGTGGCTTTCTCGTGTCTTCAGAGTGATCTGTTTGCATGAAACATCACGGAGTGCTTTTTCTATCGCTGTGCCAACCACAGGATGCAACTGGCCTGTTAAAAATGAGAGAATGTGTTCTGCGTAACGCCAGACTCACGCTCTCCTTTAGTTTCTTGTATAGCCTGTGCTATCATTTGCGTTTGCTTCCAGCAAACCGCCTTCTTCAGTGCCTGGTAATAGCTTTTACATAGCATATAAAATCTGAAAAGAGAGGGAAAGTCAACAATCCACGTCCACGCACGGTGTTGTTGCTTCTCCCTGCAATGGGAATTGTCACCTGCGCTTGTCGCTGGGCGCGAGCACCACGAGAGGGAGCTGGGAAGCAAAGCTTTGTCCTGGCTCTGCCTTCGGAGCAGGGCTGTGCTCTGTCCCTGGAAATCAAACGTGCTTCTGCACAGGCTGGAAACAAGAGAAATGGAATTAAATCTGTACTTCAGGACTTCGGTAGCATGGTGTCCTAGGGCTTCCAGTAAAGTCTGGACCTATGCCTGGATCATCCCTAACAGCCGTGTGTTGGAGTCGTCCCTCGCTTTTCCAGCCTGCTCCTCAATTTCTACCACCTCATAGTTTAAAGGACTTTCCTAGGATCTACCTCAGCTCTTCCCTGCAATTTCTTTGTTTTCCCCAGCAATTTTTCCAGCAACTTTTTTTTCCAACAACGGGTTTAAATTGAAAATGGGGAGGTTTAGATTAGATATCAGGAAGAAGTTCTTCCCGGAGAGGGTGGGGAGGCACTGGGACAGGTTGCCCAGAGAAGCTGTGGGTGCCCCCTCCCTGGAAGTGTTCAAGGCCAGGCTGGATGAGGCTTTGAGCAACCTGGTCTAGTGGAAGGTGTCCCTGCCCATGGCAGGGGGGTTGGAACTGGATGGACTTTAAGGTACCTTCCAACCCCAACCGTTCTCTGATTCTATGAACTTCTTTGTACCTTGGGACCACGGCCAATCCATCCTCTTGGAATGGTCCTGCATGTCTTGGGAGACAATTGTTGTTCCCTCTATCTTCTCTTTTTGAGCCAAAATCAGTTCTTTCAGGCCTTGTTTTATTGAAAATGCCTTTTTTAGGGGGATATATCATTAAAAAAATGGTAAATCAACTAGTACGAAAGCCAGGACCCCAGCTCAGTAAAATAAATCCTTTTGGTGTAGCAGCATGAACATTGTAGGTACCCTACTGTGGAGAGAAACTCCCTGTTTTGCAGTATTGGTGCCGTGCCTTGGAGTTCTTAACCCGCGGGCTGCGGCTGTGCAGGAGGTGAATGCGGATGTTCTCCCAGCAGCTCTGGCTGAGGAAGAGGAGGTCTAATGTCAATGTATGGGAGGCCACCAAGGACCAAAGTCCACCCCGGTGAGTCCCTGTCTCTGAAGGCTGCCGATAGCAAATGTTTCAGGTGTGGAAGACAGGACGAGCGCTTCTCCTCCTCAGCAGTGAGCTGGGTACAGGTTCTTGCCTCAAGGTCCATGGTGTTTAAAATCCCCTGGCAGATGGCTGTTCCATGACTATCTATCTGTCTGCTTTTCCTTTCCTCTTAGCGGAATTTGAAGACGAGCATGACAAAGCACAGGGTCACAGACCCTGGTTCAAGGCAATACCATCCAGGCTCATGTGGGGTTGGATGCACTCAGCGGACTGACGTCCTCCCTGGCAGAGCTGGTGTAATACAGGATGGTGGTAGCGGCGTCTGGTGTATTAAAAACCAAGGTCTGAGCAAAGAGCCCTGAAGTAGTATGCGCTCCGACATGCTGCTGCTCAGACCTTGCTGTGCTCCGGTGCTGCTGCTCAGGGTCTCCACCCTGCCTGCCTGTACCGCTGTGCTCGTCCTTCACCTTTTCCATGCTTTCCTGCACAGTTTTAATGTTGTTCCTTGCCCCTGTGGACAAGGATATACGCACCCAGCTGGAGGTCGGCACTGACTCGGGCTGGCAGCCAGGATTGCCCCCTCCTGGGGTGCTGGTGCTCCCCCATGTGTGATGCTCCAGCTGGCCCCAGAGTCACCTCCAGAAGAAGGAAGGGTGGGTGGGGGTAAAATAGGTCTCACCTGCTGAGGTGGTGTATCTCCTCTGCTCTCAGCGACAATCCCAGTGTCCCAGGTCACATTTCTTCTGGCTGCCCCTTACTCCTGCCCCAGAAAGAGTCCCCGTTTACCTGTGCTGGTGCTCCCCCATGTGTGATGCTCCAGCTGGCCCCAGAGTCACCTCCAGAAGAAGGAAGGGTGGGTGGGGGTAAAATAGGTCTCACCTGCTGAGGTGGTGTATCTCCTCTGCTCTCAGCGACAATCCCAGTGTCCCAGGTCACATTTCTTCTGGCTGCCCCTTACTCCTGCCCCAGAAAGAGTCCCCGTTTACCTTGCTTG